TCACCCAGCCGGGAATCGAACCCGGGTCTCCCAGATACGCGCCGGGCACTCTTACCGACTAAGCTACCGGGAACCACAGAAATTCACTCTCAAATTCACCTCAAACACCGCCTAACCTCCTTTAGGCATTAAAGAAAGGGGAAAGTTGTCTGGTCTCAACAACCATTTTACGGCTTTTTCGGGAGCCAGACGGGGATTGACTCTAAACCAAAAAAACTTTGCCAACGATTCATTTACTTAAAGGAAATAGGTATTTTTTCAAAATCGTATTTCTCTAGCTGAGTCATTTCCAGGCCATCTCCATTAGGTTGCACTAATAACAATCATATGACTTCGAATAGACTCCTCTGATTATCATTAATTTTTTTAAAATTCTTCAAAAACAATTAAAAAATGAAAATAATTCAATTTTTTTTTTATTTTTCACTGTTGAAAATTATTGACAGAGTTCCTTCAAGGTCGTGACAACCATAAACATCTTCAACACTAATATGATTGTCATTATTGGAACCTAATCGGAAACGCCCGAAACTGACTCGGGCGGAGAAATGCGAGTTTGAAAAATTATATGAGGTATTCCATGCCGTATGAGTCAACGGCTAACCCTCACCCTCTTGAAAATTGATGGCGATTTTTTCTACGATTGCGGGGCTTGAAAAACTATCTCTCAAATTTTTTCAGATTTTTTTGACAGCCCAGTTGGGAAATATGATTTTTTTCAAATTGTTCGGTTTTTTTACGATAACTCGAATTCTACTCATCCGATTTCGATTTATTAGGAGGCAAAATTTTCTATTTTTCACTGCCTATAAGAGTGTTAAAAAAAAATTCCAATCTTTAAATGCTCGAAATTAGTTATTTTCATCACAAGGTCCACAAAGTATTTTCTGACGAATGTGGCTTTGTAGACCGAGCCGAAGGCGAGTAAACCGCGATCTAACCGAGCGAAGCGAGGTTAGAATCGCGGTTTACCGCAGTGATGCCAGATAGGAAATCCCACAGGTCTCCCACTCCTTCCTTAGTACCACTGCGCAGCCTTTAGGGCACAGAACGTCTAGCGCTCCGTTTGAATCGTTTGAATTCGATCCGCAACGACGGTATGACGATACTCCCGTTACTTTAATGACTGTTGTGAAGGAGTTAGTGTATAAAATGACATAAATGAGTAAATGAATGATTAAATTTCCTAGAAGTTGAATATTGTAATGTTCAAATTCTTCCGGGATCACGAGGAGATAGTGTAACTTCACAAATGGCTGAAACGGAAGGTCGATTTCACGTGGGTCAAACGGCACGAGGTTCACGAGGGCCATGAGGGGAACAATCAAACTGCACGAGGTTCACGGGAGCCACGAGGAGAATATTAAATTTCAAGGGTCAAATGTCGACAAGGGTCAAAAGTCGGGACGGCTCACGAATCTCAGGAGGAGACAATTAAATATCGCAAGGGTCAAATTTCGCGGAGCTCACCAGGGCTACAAAGGGAAAATCAAATTCTACCAGGTTTGAAGGGCGTGAAGACTCATGAGGGAAACGAGGGCCATGAGGAAAACGAGGGCTACAAGGGGAAAATCAAATTTCACTAGGGTCAAACGTCGTGAGTGCTCACGAAGGCCACGAAGGGAACAAGGAACACAAGGATCACAAGAGTTACGAAAGGAAAATTAGATTTTGCAATGATCCAACTATCACAAGAACAGTGGTATCAATTATTAAGCGTTATTGAAGTTTCTATGTTTATTGTTTGGGGCCCTGAAAAGGGCTGGCCGGCTCTGAAAAGACCCTATTTATGGAGTTTTGAGGAATCTGAAGAG